TATATATATGCCTATATACTTACACATCGGTCTTCCAACAAGTCGAAATACAAATAAAGACACCATATCTATGCTTATTTATATTTCCTATTGTTATCTAAATGAGCACACATACCTCCAAAAGCACCCAACAGCACGAACGTTGTGACTATTAGGATCATGTTCCTGACATTGCCCACTTTCCATGTCGGTCTCATCGTGCGCTGTTGTGGGACTCCCTGAGGTGCCCTAATGCCAAAGTCTCGTCGTGTAGAGACGTCCATACGCCCTCAGTAAGTAATATATTTATAGTATGTTTTATGTATAGATATGTGTTATATTTGCAGTAGTGATATAGCTGTAACTAAAGTAGTGTATATGCAGTTGTGGTAGAGTGTGATATTCACAGGCCTGTGCTACAGTTGTAGCTGTGTAGAATAATAAACTTATCGGTTGCTTAATGAAAGATTATGTTTATCGCTTGAACCATTTTGTGTAAATGTATACAATCCTTAATAATATACCGAGTTGCCGACAAACAGTTTCAATGTATTGATGTACATGCAGCCAACAACTATATGTCATGTGATGGAAGCGTTCACAGTGTCTCGTATTTACATCAACAACTACATATTTACTTGGCGTTATCATTGCCCCTGAGAGCTTGTATTATGATTACGTATTCAACTACCTGGTAACAGGTGTACATGGCAATTTAGGTGAAATGTCCTTGGCATTCTTATAAACGTAAAATGTCAAACAATATACAATTTCCATGGCATTCTGAAAACGTAAAAGGATTTCTCATACAGCTTTCTCTTTTATTTATATATGAGTAATATGTCAGTGAAAGGTTCCAGGCAAGATAAACGTTTTTAAAACAGGTTTGTACTTATGTACTTCACAAAGACCGGAAAAAATACACGTTTATTACGTTCAACTTTCGAAAAGTTAGAATATAATTTACGAGTTTAATACCACCGCTACACATATTTGTATGTATTTGATAGTACATATTGAACCTGGAACATTTACGCGCACAGCACATACATACATTATAAATATATACTGGTGGACGTATATGAATAAGTAGTTCTATACGAGACATGTCAGGGAAACGGCCTGGTGACAATGTTGGACCGGCAGGTGCTGCGAAACGCGCTAAAACTGCGATGACTACTGAGCAGATGCAGGCGCTTATAAACTCGACGAAGGCAAGCGTAGAGAAACGAGCACAACAGTTGGGTATGTCTTTAGATGTAGACTAGAGCAAAAATGAACCCACCCTATAGAATCGAGTATAATT